CAGCTTCTTTACATAAAGAGCAAATAAGAAAAGACTCTTAAACTGACAAAATTGCTAAGTAAAAGCTATCCCTGTAACAGGCCGTGAAGGCCCATAGGTTTGAAACGTCGAGGTTCTCACATTTTCTAGACAATCGGCTCACAGTTGGCGATAGGGTTGTCAGTCTTACGCGCCGGCCGCCCTTTATCTCCCAGTAAGATTCCTGGTACTCAATTATGTTAGAGACCGAGTCGACCCCAGGGCCATAGTGTGGCTGGAAGAATTAGGCCAATTGAAAAAATCCACCTCATCGGATCTCGAACGCCTGACCTTCCGGCTTGTAGCACAGTGCCTCAACTAACTACGCTACCGCGTGCCCCCTAAAATTGCTATGTGCCTCAACTTAACCGGTTTATTACCAATGTAACAATGCAGAAATGACAAGCAGACACAGGAGGGCACGGAAATAGACACAATATTTCATGTTCTTTTGAAGAAGGATCTAAAATTGAGCGACTACATTTAGGCAGTTACCGAACTCAAGTCTGAGAGTCCAAAGTTCAGTTTACCCACTTATTTCAAACAGAGGGAGGTGCCAAATGTTAACTGTCCTTTATAGTATGCTGTACAAAAAACAACGGCGGCCTGGAATAACAATGAGAAACAAACATGCCATGTGCGTGCCAGCATGCCAAGCCCAGCCATCCTAACCCAACAGTGCAACTGTTGCGGCTCGGCTGAATTCAGAACTGTACGACAATCAAGTACCAATCATAAAGGCAAAAACGGTTACGTCCCTGTACGTAATTAGGCAGCACGCTATAAAGATGTTTCTATACATGGGGAGTGCAGGCATAGCTCCACGCAGTCTTAACCTCCACACCAAACATAGAAGACAGAAGGCAGGGTGGGTCCCAAACCCACTCCGAGCGCTATGGAGAAGAGACAAACTCTTGGCCTTGTCGGAAATAAAACGATTCCTCGGTCTAATCCTTAGTTTAGTCACTATGCCGACTGAGCTATCTTGGCTTCATATTCAGGATATCTTTATAAGATACTTCCTGAGCCGTTACACCACTTAATATAATCATAAGTAGTAAAAGTCCATCAAGCGTGAGCAAGTTTGCTACACTTCTTACAGTTGATGCACTTGTTCAGGATACATTTATATAAAAAAAACGTGGTTTGAGTCCGCAAGCAAACTATACCGACAGAGCAACCGCCGCTTGTCGGTGAAGTTAGTGCCAACTTTAGCGGATAGAGGGTGTCGCGTGGGCAGCGCAACGAATCCCAACACTACAGATATTTATCCCCGTGTGGAGGCGGGAGGTACCACCGTAGCCCTGCGAGTGGCAGAAGGCGACGAAAGGGGAACCCAGTGCCTGGGAGTATAACTGGGCCACCCTGTCACTGGGGGACATAACTACAGGGACCCGGCCCTCCAGGTTGGAGGTTGGACGCAAGGCTGACGACCTTGCCCTGAAGAAAAAAAAACCGAACGCCAAAAGAGTGAAACCCGGATGCAATCTAGCATAATCTTCTGACGAAGGCTATGGCTCAGAAGGGCTGTTTCGCCAATAGACTTCTGTGTAGAACAAATGGGCTGATTCGCGTTTCAGCAAATTAACAATTCTCAAGTTTCCTAAGCTATGGACCATCATGATGTCAAAATTCCACTTGCAAAATCTGTCCCATTTTATGACGAAATGTGTAAGAATTTTAACGGTAAATCAGTAAGCCTACAAGTGTTCTTTATCAGAAACATTACGTTTTTAGAATGGCGGCCAATCCTTGAATACAAAATGTGATGAAAGCTCGACTATATAACTATCTTGCCTACTCATAGTCCGTAAACATCCTTTTCTTATTCTTGTTGCTCCCACTAGGAGCACACACTTGGTTTCACTCCAGTTTCGTAATCTTTGACAGTCTGTAGGACTCCTTGGACGGGGGATCAGCCAAACTCAAGGCCGATACCTATACAGGACAACACAAACACAAAATAAACGCAGACAAACATCCAAGCCTTGACTGGGATTCGAACCGACGGGCCCAGTGTTTGTATGGGCGAAGACATTTCATGCCTTACCCGCGCGGCAGCTGTAATCGGCAATAAACTGCAATGTAGTAATATAATTCGCAGATAGATAGACAGACAGTCAAACAGATAGATAGATAGATAGATAGACAGACAGACAGTCAAACAGATAGATAGATAGATAGATAGATAGTCAGATAGACAATGAGATAGATTCTAAATTACTGTTGGGGTTTCCGTAGCCTATAAACGGAAACCCTGACAATAATTTAGAATCACTTTGTATAATTCAGGAACCAGGAGTTCATTGTGCCCAACATTTCCATCTTAAGGTCTGTAAAATACATCAGCTGGAGAAATTACACTTATTCAGATTGCTGTAAATGGGAAAAATGTGAAAGGAAATTACTGTGGTACGAATTGCGGACTTATTTGACGGGGTATAAACCAAGCACCTCCCGATAACAAGTCAGGTGCCTTACCTTGCAACTAAACCTGTTGATTTACGCTACAGATAAAAGAAAAATATCACTTGAAAAGAAAGAGGTTGTTTAATAAATCTTCCGTAGAAAACAAGAATAGAAAATAAAAGCGAATATCTGACTTTTAATGCTTCTTGTGGGTTTTTATGTGAAATATCAAGCAATCCTTCACGTAACATAGAATTGTTTGTAAACAGATTAAAATATGTAGGATGACTGTTCATCTAACCATGAAGCAGTCTGATGTAAATAACGCATGCATTTACCAGTACGTCTCCTACAGACGCTCGGCATGTTGTAACGTGAAACACGTCCTCTGTTGCGTTACACAGGAATCAGAAACGTGTTTTAGAATTTCGGGGGCCTTATATTAAATTTTCAAGACATGAGCATAATGGAACAGTATTAGTCCGCTTCTAGAAACCTTGCTAGCTCCTGAAAGTTCTTAATGATCAAGAAAATAAATAAAACATTTTGTCATCCGTATTTCTCTAATTTACAGCTCCTGAGAACAAAAATGTTGCCACGTTTCCTCTCTTATAGGATTTCTTCATATGTGTTATTAATTGCACACCGCTCGTCTCTACTGTCAAGTCCAGTTTATAGTCTCTCGTAATCAGTTATCATAATGTGACGTGCATATCCATTGCTAGGCAATGATTCGGTAAACACATTCCCGCGAAGTGTACGCATGCGAGAGGACATCCTTTGCTAAATAACGGACCAGTAAACATGCATCCTTAACAATAAGAACTGCGTTTTCTGTGTGGTCCGTGCCAAGTGGTAAGTTTTCAACTAGCAATAATCGCACCTCGGATAAACCTCATTGGTTACGATATTGCCACTGCCACCTGCGTGGAGGCGGGGTCGAATACCTCCACCGTGACCCTGCGAGTTGTAGGAGGCGACGGAAAGGGAAGTCTCAAATCTGAGACAGTAAAATATGGTCAAGAATCCCAAGGGACTCGGACCCGAGAAAGACTGCTCTGGCAAGGACCAGCAGCATATACAAAAGACAGACCCGCCCTCTCGTCAGAGAGGGCGCCCCACTAAAAGAAGACTGTAATTGTCAAACAGCAATAAATATCTGGTCATAAGCCCCATCTGACTGACTGACCGTCAGTCGCAATGTGACTGACCGAGTAGTAGAAGAAGAATAGTCGAGAGTGAACAGTGGAGTTTCGGGACTCCAGCCTGCCAGGTTATGAGCTTGGTAGCACAAGAATTGAATTCAGTCAAGTCTTCGGAATTGATAGCTGACGAATAATGGCAAGAAAGGAATTAGGCTGCGAGAAACGACTCTATGTGCGATTTGAAGTGACAGTGAGACTCTTAAAAATCCGTTGCCTGGATAATAATAATAGAGGCAAGAACTCTAGTGCGTCTGCAACGGTGAACTCTTAAGTGTGTAGATCAACTATAGCGATGTATTACCTGTTTTCCCGAGTTGTGTGAATGTACAAGGTGTTAACAAATCCGATCAACCAATCCAAAACGCATCTTACAAGTCATGCAACCACCTCTACACGTGACAATAATGATTTTAAATAAACCCCTTTTAATAGTATACGTATTGTTTCCTCTCCCAACAGTTCGTACACTTACGCTTAGATTTCCTTTTGGGAGAGAGGTGCGCGAAGAAATATGCCTATATGCAAATCTTCGCAACATGTTGCCGGTACAACATCGATGCACATACTGTGATATTCCTTGATTCTGCGTGAATGTGTTTGATAGTAAGAATAACAATACTGGAATATTATATTTCAGCATTCTGTTGCACTGGGGCACCATTTTAATTGTATATATTCCGTGTGTAATGGCCACACATGGGCCATCATCAGGCAACACTTATTATTTGGGGAGATCATTGCACTGTGCACTCTGACCTTAGTTCCCCTAGGCACGTTGTTGTTGTTGTTGTTGTTGCTGTTGTTGTTGTTGTTAATTTGCTTCGTAGGATATTTTCATCCTATATTTCTAGCGGCCGTTTCAGTGTTCCTTTTAGTGTGTCGTTCACTTTAGTTGTGTGTGTTTAGTGCTGTTTGTTCCTTGTGCCTAGTTAACAGTACACAGTTAATGACATTTAAAATATTTAACAAACATATTTTAGTGAATTAAATATTTTTTAATGTCTCTTAAGGCAGAACTGACTTCGTTGCAATACAGACAGAATACCATACCATTAAAATGGTGCAATGCTGGAAGTTCAAAAATTTGTCATAATAGTATATTGCTGGGAACTCGTCAGCCAATTGTGAATTCGCAAAAATGAAGACAGGCTATATTTCATAGCCTTGTTAGAACCAGGCTCTGGTTACTTCATAATAGCATGTATCGTCAATCAGTGCATGCAGTGTTCTATCGTCGTCAGATGCGAGTGTATGTTTCACTATTCATCCATTTTAAGTGTCTGTGAGTATCATCTTGACGGGTTTTGCTACCTTCAGGAATTATTTCTAAAAACAAAATCAATAACAACACTAAAGACTAACACTTACATGAGTGTGGGAAGACCTCCAATTCTTTGGTGCATATTTCGTCAGCTTGTTGTCCGGATCAACAAACAGGTACTCCCCATCTGAAAACAGAACCATTACTGAGTACGAGGGGTCAAAGTATCATTAAAACATCCCGAAAATTTTAGATGTTAGTAACATTCAAGATCTTGTATTCTATCCATCAAGGATTAAATAAACACTGAAGTAGTAACTGTTCATCAAATTCGGCGAATTCTTCCTGACTTCTGTTCAGAATCTTCATGCCTGTTCTCCAAAAATCTGAAGATCAAAATAATTTTATATTTCATTTCGTACGGGTGCCCAGTCACCCCGAGGGACAAACACGTATTCAGAGTGTAAAGTAAAAAAAGTAAAGGTATCTCCTGTAACAGGCTGTGGAGGCCCATAGGGTTGTGAGACGTTAAGGTTCCCACATTTTCTATACAATCGGCTCATTAATGGCGGTAAGGTTGTCAGCCTTACGCGCCGGCCGTCCTTTACCGCCCAGGAATATTCTTGGTACTCATTTCTGTTAGAGGCTGGAAGGAATAGGTAAACTGATAAAATCCAAATACCTCATCGGGATTCGATCCCGCGACCTTCCGGCTTGTAGCATATAGTGCCTTCACCAACTACACATGACACCAAAGTACTGGGGATAATTGCCGCGCCTAAGAGCAGCGAGACAACCGGAAACAGAAAGTTATACAAAATGAAAAGCTTCATCATGTGTAAGCATATCTTTAGCCAAATATTATTAAGGCGACTAAATCAAGAAAAACGAGACTGGGAGCATGCAGTAGGCATGAGAAAAATGAAAATGTCTAGGCCTACACAATTTTTGTCAAATAACTAGGGATCTTGGAAAGAAATAGCGCGAGGGTAAGGACTGGATTAAACTGGCTCAGGACATGATCCATGTGAACATGGTAACGAACCTTCAGGTTCCTAAACAGATGACTTTCTTGACTCTGCCCCACAGTTTGATACAATGGAGTTATGAGCTCTCCGTCATAAAAGCTGCCTTTGGCGAAGAGGTTTTGTCAGAAAGAATTTGCAACATCACACATCGGAGGCCAGGTATGGGCAGGGGACCCACGAGAACACCAAAATACAGCAGTGCTCGTGAGATTACAATTTCATATCAACTGCCTGCACTGAGACTCTCTTACGAAACATACTGGAACTACTTACTTGCTGCAACGGCCTCTCATGCTTTCTCGCCTCAGTGTGCCCAGCCAACCTAGTTTACTGTGCTCCAAAGTGCAAATGCACACAAAATAAAATGCAGCTGCATGACTTTTGTGGTAGGCTTCTGCCCTTAATCTCCTCAAAAGATTTGTTTTCTGAACTGATAACACTGTCTAACGTAATGAACACATTTCTCATGTCGACTTTCACCAAAATCTGATCAACAGTTTATGGCATAGGCCTAAGCGAAAAAAAAATACTTATCTAAAGCAGATTCTTTAATCAGTCAGGAATGCTCAAAATCTAAATGGCCAACTAACGTTATGAACATACATCTGTGTTTATTTATACCAAATTCTGATTAACAGTTCACGGTTACGCCTATATGGAACAGCTCATATATGACCATACGTATAGGTTTCCTTCTGGATCCACGTGGATAGAAATTGGAATTACCACACATTTACTGAACATCTCCAATGTCGAAATTTAAACTACCTACACAACGGCTTAGGCTCTAACAATAGTCCACAAACAGATGGACATGACTTCCACACAAGGCGTCTTTTTTCTTGCTTCGTAAAGGACGCCTAACACGCGCAATAAACATTTCTTCTTAGTGACACAAACCAACGAGATCTAGTTGTAACCAAAGGAGTGTGGTAGGGAATAGTATCGTTTACTGAAAAGAGCAGTAGTTTTTTTTTCCTTATTTCCTTAGGGTGCCCACTTGGTACGTCGGTCACTAACTGATCTACTGTACCAGCCCCGGACGATAGATGATGAATGTGAATAAGTCGGTGGAATGAGAATTGGCAGGGGAAACCGAAGAACTCGAAGAAAAATTTCCCAGCGCCACTTTGTCCGCCACAAATTCCACTTGGCCTGACCTGGGCTCGAAGTCGGGCTACGGCGGTGGGATGCCAGCGACTAACCGCCTGAGCTATGACACGGCTTCCATTTGGGTGCTTACTGGAAGCTACAGCAACCTCTACTTCTTACCAGGGAATACCAGGTCTGTCTCCCCTGGTTCTGGAACTGGTTGTAACAGATTCCGGGCTTTTAACTAATATTTTAATATGTGTGTATACAAGCAGGCATAAAATATTTAAGTTCAGTATGCATGCTGTGAACTTGGCTTTATAAGAAGTGTGGTGTGTATACCTACACATATATTTTTTTATAACATATGAAAGATTAGTAGGCATGTTGTGAACATAGCGTTACAAGCAGAAGAGTGTATCATCATCATTGGCAAAACAGTCCTTTCTGAGCCACAGCATCCCTTAGATGATTCTGCATGATTTGATCAGGTTTTTATTTCACTGTATTTCGCAAACATTTTCTTTACAGAGCTCAGTAATCAGCGTTGCGTCCAGCCCGAAACCTGGAAGACCAGGTCTCTGTATTTACGTCCCTCAGTGACAGGGTTCCATTTTCGTCGCTTTCTACGACTCGCAAGGTTTACGGTGGAGGCATTCTAAACCGCCTCCACGCGGGGAAGAAATGAGTGTATACCTGCTCAGAGTATGTATGAGAGATAATTTTCTTAATTCTAGTGGAATGGGACTAAGTCCCTTGTACTGCGACCACTTCTGGCCTACTGTACCAGCCCCAGATGACAGGTGAGGGTGACTGTGGAGCAACTGGTGGAATGAAGATTGGCAGGGGAAACTGAAGTACTCGGAGAAAACCCGCCCCAGCGCCACTTTGTCCACCACAAATCCCGGGCCGCGGCGGTGGGAAGCCAGCGACTAACCGCTTGAGCTATGTTGCGGCCATGTATGAAAGATAAGTAGGCATGCTGTGAACCCAGCTTTATATTAAGTTCGCTATTTCTTTCCGTTGCCAGAAGCGGGCCAAGATTTCATCCGGCCAGTCATGATGGCCGGACTGCCGCAGTCACAGCGTCCCCCTTATGATTTATGGAGGAGTCAGAAGGCCCTATCTCACTTATCTGACTCTATGTACATGTACGCAAGCAACAACTTCCACAAGAAATGTTCCAACAGTTTCTGCCGCTTTTATCTGTTATCTTATCTGAGAAACGTGGATTGATTCCGGAAAAATTACACTCAATATTATTAGCGTAATCACTTCAAACAATTAACATGAATGCTTATGAGAGTTTGTTTTGAAATGTCTGCGCAAAGAAACTAAATGAAAGATCAGTAGCAGATGAAATACGACGATTAAAGGTAAAAAAAGAAGCAAAATTGTCCCTGTGCTTAATTAATTAAGTACAGTATGGGCCAAAAATACAGCACTGAAATGAAAAGACGTCCTGTTGATACCACTGTCTATTCATGTGAAGGCCCCTTGTACGACAGAACCTTCTCAAATCCTGAAGAAATAGGCCGATCACCATGTCCCTGTAGCGTTCTTGGGTGACGGTGAGAGCATTACCTTCCTCATCCTCAATGAAATAGGGGCCTAATATATCGTGTTCTGAGACGGCATACGTGTACTATGTAGCGGTTTCTGGACGATAACATCTGGCCGCTCAAAACCAAGGAAGCGAGTTGTCTGGCGACCACTTCCCTATGAGCGGAAATAATACTCAACTATGAATACTTTTCCTCCGTCGAGAGACCCAGTTCCAACAACTGCACAACACAATTTACTTTTCACTACTGGGAACACGTGCGGCTGGAGCTATGCCCCGCTGACAAACGCACATGCGCGTTCGAGATGCGCGAGTTTCAGTACTGTAATTTTTGCGCATACTGTACTAGGACATGAAGACATATTCGGGAAGTGGAGGTATCTCTCCACAATTTTTGACCTCGGTACTATATAGAGGTAAGTATGCTCATTATATTATATACATGTATTTGTCCTCTTCATCAGCATATTAAAATGTATAGCAACGGAAGACAGTATTAAAACGATCTTAGATACATTGCTTGTAAAAGTGCCACGTGGTTAGAACCGGCTCAATATAACTACATTGTAAGATAAATACTGTCACATGTAAGGAGTGATTATAAACGGAATTTGCATTCGTAACTCGATTTACTGAACTCTTACCGAAAGAAACTACAAATAACTATGAAAGTTTCACTGAGTTACACACTCCAAAGATAACTTTAACCACAGATCATATAGGTCTTCTCAGTTTTCTGTCTTCACTAGTCGTTGTCTGGTGACGGATCCGAACACCTTCCTCTGTTTCCGTGTTCACGGTCTTACAGACTGACGACTATCTCACAACTAACTCACTGTTTCAACTGTCGACTCTCCCTCAAACTAGTAAATTGCTCCTGGTCCTCGCCAGCGCAGTCGTTCTTGGTTTCGGGCTCCGTCGAGACACTTGGCCATATATTTGTTCTTTTCAAACTTCTACGTGTTTTGTTATGGGGCCTCCTATTTAATTGTTGCTGATCACTCCCCATGTACTGGGGAGTGACTATGGTGTCTCTCACTCTCACTCCCCACTGTTGATTCTCAGTCGGTCGGTCATCTGGCTTTTGCTCAGCAACGGGTCTACAAGCCACAATATACTTATTTCGCTATATCCCAGAGGGCAGTGTTTCTCACTGACTGAATTGCGAGAAAAATATTTAAAATACCGCTGTACTATTTATTCCTCTGGGACAAATAAGGCAATCTCAAAAACTCTGGAAGGTTGGCGTCACATTCGATAACTAACACATCCTTCTTGCCTATTTTGTCGTTTAAGATACTTGGAGGCAATGACGACCGTTCTGCTCATATTAACGGCAGTATGGAATTAAAATGATTCCTCGGCAGTTACGTAAAAATCATATATCTCTGCAATACAACTCTTGGCAAAAATATCTGCCACCGTATAGTATCAGCCTACACGAACGGCTGCTGCATCCTAGTGGAATTTATAGACCTGATCATTCAGCTAATGCCCCACTAT